TTTAGAATGTATCGTTCCTGAATCGTATCGTACCCCATGTATCGAGATATGCATCGAATCGTCTTTTATTGGAGAGATGCACACCCCTTATTAACATTATAGAAAAATCTTGACAATTAACGTACCTGGCAAGTCGCAAAAATATTAACTTATCCATTCTCTGCATTTGACTCATTCGAAGCACTAGGAGCAGTGGGCGGCCACCGTGCCGCGCCCAGGAAACAGCTCCAGATCTGAGCCAGTGCCTTGGTTAAGGGCACTGACTGGAAGATTAACCTAACATAAATTTTTTTGATGGTGGGGGAAACTGGAGCACTCAAAGCAAACCCACTCAAACATGGAGAACATGCAAAACTCCACACAGAAGGCCCTGCCCCAGCCAGGAATCGAACCCAGGACCTGCCAAAATAAGCAATATTGCAATACTATACACTCATAGTGACTACAGCATTATTCAAAAGTCAGCAGTGACTTGAGATATAAGATTTTTTGAAGAACAGGAAACCCAAATCACGATCTTTACCTCATATTAACCAAAGTGCTTTTGTTGCAAGATTGAACCTCTGTACTGTGTTGAGGGTTGGGGTTAGGGTCCTGCACTTTGTAAGACCATAACCCACCCCAACCACCTTGCAACTCCACCGCGTTACATAAATGTAGTCTTTCAAATGTGAACATGGGAAAAAATCTCTGAACGTAATCCTCGACGGTATTATATTGTCACCACAATGTAATTATGAAAACAATTTAGTAACATACAAATGGAATTAATAAGGGTCAGGGCAATACTTAATACTACTAATTATAAAAAGCTAATTGTTTTGGTTAAATATTAAAGGTTTCAAACAAATCTCTTAATTCAAACCAGCTTTGACTTTTTGGACTTTTCACAATGACCATGATCTTTTAGCCAAATTGACAAAATCCGATTCACAAATGCAAATTAGTGCGGAAGTTAATTTCCAATTTTCAAGAGGCAGACCTACAACCAATCAGAGCAACAAATTAAACTTAAACCAAATTCTGTCAGATGTACAGCAAACACATCTATCTGATCAACAAAAGCTTTAAGTGTAGTTGTTTGTTCTTCTTTTACAAAAAAATATACTATCCAGTTTGTTTAACACAAACAGGTCCACACAGCGGCAGCCATCTTTGTTGTTCATGAAAATGCCTCAGTGGCCAATAATGCGCTCCACCAAACAGTCATCATATAAAACCTGCTCCATATTAGATAAACATTTGTGATTGGCCTGAATCCAGGACTGGTGTAAATCTTAATTGGAGGGAGGACAATTGCATCCACCAGAGCAAAAAAGCAAGCAGATTCATCTGGTTCCCAGGATAACGGTCTTTCCTTAACCTCAATAAGGTGCACTGAGTTGCCTAAACATATCGATGAAAATCATGCTTCAACTGCCAGGAGCAGCTGTTACAGGAAAATAAATGAAAAAACGTCAGTTGACATTTTCCAGATATGTTTAATATGTAAATGTTCTTGTCATGCTGATAAAAACATAAGTTTGGACAGCATCACAGCTTCTACAAGTCATATTTGAATGCAGCTTTTTGTAGACAGGGTTGTTATTTCCATTTAATCATGATAGAAATAAAAAATGTGAGTAGAAGTTTGAAAAATGTGTTGTCTGCTATGATGTGATTCAATCCAAACAACCATTCTTCATGTCCAGCATGTATTTACTGACAGATTGGCAATCCTGTCCATCAGTCTGTCACCACTTATGCTCAAATATATGCATATGTGATGAGTAGCTTCATTCCACAAACAAATACATAAGGTCCTACACGAGAATCTATAAACTGTGACATGGGGGGCCCT